TTTACCACTGACACTATGTCCCGACTCCCTACAGCACCAAATATGCCCTCATTGTTGCAGTTCGAAGCTTTATCGATTTTATGTTTGCGCTTAACATAATGCTCATATGGTAGCTCGGTCCCGATTCGAATTACTGACTATCCAAAGCGGTGGCCAATAAACTATCAATGGTAATTTAACTCTCCATTCTTCTCACCAGCATTCCCATTTGAATTTGCTTCGCTTAATATAACTCGCAATTACTCTCAGTCGAAATTCTGTAAGATGTGGCTGAGGTAACAGTCTCCACCTTGGGAAAACAAGCAGAAATTCTGCTTGCATGCACCTTTAGCCGACATGGAGCTACGCAAACGTCATTAGGATGCGCCTGATGGTAGTGAAGCCTAACAGCTGAAACAGAGGTACACTGCCTGAAGAGGGGGGAGGAAGAGATAGGAGGCAGCTATGGAGCTTATTAAAAGCTCGGCATTGAATGACTAATCCCAGGTGTCCTAATTCATTCAAGTGATGCATTCACTCTACAAGCACGCACATACCCAATATGCCAAGGAGAAGCTAACCTCAGCTGGTAAACATTTCGCTACAAAGTCAACAGCAGAAAGTAACATACCGGTTTGCTTGGCAGAAATTTTAAAAGGAAGTTCTTTAAAAAAGCTATCATAAAAATATAAAAAGACTACAATTGAGTAAAAACTATTTAGTTCCGATGTCATACGCCATGGAAAGGTGCGGAGGATGTGGATTGAGGATCCATTGTCTTATCGCAGAGCGCCCACCAGAGGCAAATAAAAAATGAGCCGCCGCTTATCTGGATCTCGGTCTTAGCCACTTGTTCACGTTCTCATATACAAGGAATGTAATACCAGAGGCTGGGGCCGTCCTGAGTGTGGCGGGCCAAAGGCCCTTGTAGAAGCCCAAGAGGCCTTCATATCTGTAGTTGTAAAAAGAGACGGGTTAAGTGCACGCAGATATAGATACTGCGGTTGGGAGTGTGTCAACTAAAAGATTTATGTATATGAACCTAGTTAGAGCGTTGGCATTTTAGTCAACAGGTCGCGCGTTCGAGGTTCGGGTGGTGCACCAGCTGGGGTTAGGTATGACCGGCTGATAATGGGTAATGGGCCAGAAATGGCTATTCCAGTCTCTTTTCCTTGGTAGCAACGTTCAGCTGCCTACACCACTAGCCGCTGTGCGGCTGCTAACAAGGCTCGAGGGCGAGTCCCAAGGCCCAGCAGGATGAGTGCGTTAGCGATCTGTGAGCGTTCATCGACGAATCACAAAACCAGTGCACCCTGTAGATCCCAAGTATAAAACTATGCGCTCAGAACTGCGGTCACCGGGTAACAGGAAATATATTCTTCTGCTAGCACAAAAACCGCTACTGACTGAGCAACAGGAATCTTGCTGGATGGTCACAGCAGTTAAGGCGCACATTTCGAATCCAGAGAACGTAATTTCCCTGCTCGTCGGACAAACAACACCAGACTGATAACTGTTAACAAAGACGAAGCACAAATCACGGAGGAGCAAGGTACCCTTGAAATGCTCTTCTATGACCCCTCATGCCCGACGTTTTGTTTCTCTGTTCCGCTGCAGCAAAGAAAAAGACGGTACAATCCTAGAACGCTTACACGGTGCGCCGGAGAAGTAGGGGTGTCCACTTTCAAGTGAAGTAACTACGAAAAACCAGTTGTACACTAAGCGGCACTGTGCAACCGATGCCTCAAGGGTAACACTTAATCGGGCCTTTGATTTTTCGAAGAACTACGGTCCGCACGCTCCCATTAGTTGGGCAAGGGCAACGAAGAGGAACATGTTTAGGAATTCAGTGCGGAGTCTGATTAATGGACCGACCTGCTAGGTCCATTGGATATTCAAAACCAAAAACCTACCACTTCCAAAAAGGTAGCCATCTGACTGCACTGGTATTCTCGTCAATCGGAGAACTGAGGGCCCGACTGAAGGAGCGAGAACTTAATTACACTAGGAAGAACGCAATTGGAAACTAAAAGAAGGGTGGTTTGACGGAACTCGGGGTCCCAAGGTTTCAAGGAACCAATTTATTACACATTTTCCAGCAAACAAATTCCTAATGTGAACGACGATACAGTCGGACACCTGGTCTACTGAATAGTTGTGGCACGAGTGCTCAAACTGGTTTTGTTGTAAGCTTACGATGTACGCAGCAAACATGAGCTGCATTGGCAGATTATCTACAGCAGCTGTGGCGTCGACACTTGCAGGGGCATAAGGACTCAGTTGGAGAGAATTTTTTGTCTGTTAGAACCGTTTACCGGGATGGAGGAGGCCGAGGCAAGCTAGGATGTATAACCAAGAATACGCTGTCCAATAAAAGCACTCGAACGGATTATGCGTCGATTAAATTAAGTGTCAGATCGCCAAATAGATGCATCGGCTAAAACGATGAAGAAGTGTCTCACGATACCTCGATGACTCGACTACTGTAATTTAATCAGTAACGAAAAGCAGAGCTTGATGCGAGCACTGAAAACTCGACATACAGTAGATTACCTCTTCTTTTCAAATGTTTGGCAAAATTCTAAAATGCATTTTTGATTAAAAAAGATTACCTGGGCAGGGTTGTAACATTGATTACGATGCAGCACAACAACAAGATATTAAAATTAAGACCGCATGCCAGCTTTTGAACAAGCTTTTTTTCGACCGTCTGCGAAATCTACACTCTCTAGAAATGGCTACTTAATTAATATGAGTTTTTCTATGCCCGACTTTTTCTATAAAAGACGCGCACCAAACATTTTTATTCCTTTGCAAAAAGTCCCGTTTTTCTAATTTATCCTTGAAGAAAGGATAGTTTTTAGTTCTAAAGAAGTTTATAATTGTGAGATTTTTGAGATAATGGAAGGTCCATTCATAAAGCATTGTGCCTGTGTATTTATGAAGGCTGCTTGTAAAGGATACGAAGTGGTTCCCATCCACTGCAAAAATCTTGAGTACCGTATGACATATTCTCAATAGTATATAGAAAGGTAGGATTTTCCTCACACGGAAAATATACAGTTCGTAGTTTCGAAGCCCGGAACGCAAGTGAAACAGCAGGCTGAGTGCAAACTTATTCAGGAATTGAAAAAAAAAGATTTTTGTAACTAAAAGATGCTCTTCATTCAAGCATCCCATCCGAATACGTACTTTGTCACCAAGTAAATACAAGAAAGTATCTTTTCGTGTATGCTTTCCATCAAATATTTTTTAACTTCTAAGGACATCTACAATCAGTGGGAAAATGCATACTACTAAAGTAGTTTTTTTAGAGGCTAACTTTACAGGCGGCAGAAGAAGGCTCGTTCCATCTGACTTGACCGTTATGTAGTGGGATTATGCAGCACGATAAAACTACAACCCAATTTAAGTAATATTTTGTGGACGCCATGGCCATCTTTGCTAAGTACAGGAGACTTCAGAAACACCTCCCTCCCCTCACAGGCTGTCCGGTATACCTCTCCCGGGAGGACGCGCACTGAATAAAATCAGCAATTCAAAGCAGTACGTAAACGTGGTGTTGGCCGACCGCGTGGCCACCTGCATGCACACCAGAGCTTTCAGTCTTTAAGAGTAGCTTTCGTGTCTCGGTTTAGAACAGGTTTCGTCAAAAAAGCGGGGCCGTAGTTGTTGTTCAGTCTAGAACATCAGACTGCATGCGCTGAATTTTTCAACAAAGCCTTCAGCTGTCAGGGTACAGTGGATGCCAGCAGCAAAAAGCAGGAATATAAACAAATACATATCTGACTGGTTCCATCACCTCTATTGGTTGGACATCATGAATTACGGAGTGCGCTTCCTTAATTCTAAATTAAGTACTCACGACCATAATTGGTCTTCGTTGAAATCATGACTTCTTGTCTTCTGTGAGTGGAGAAGTAGATGCGACAATAAAACGACCCATTAAGTTCACCTTGTTTTGAGTCGAGACTGGCGTCAAAATCTTGGCAAGAAGTGGGATTTATAAAGTCCCCTCTTATAGAAACGAGGCACTTTAACTATCTACATTAAATTCTGGTAACTTTCAAGTGAATTGCTGCATTAAAATTGCCAACAAAAAGGTTTGCCTGTAAAATACCATGTGCGCACGTAGCAGAGCATCAGTTTTTTTCTCCTACGTTTTGTTTTCTTAAGCGGGGGTTTGCTGAACTCTGCCCCGGCTTTAATGGTAGTTTTTTTTTCACTGCTTCCTCCTTAGTTCACCATGCGTTTCAGAGAGT